AAAAGGAAAAGGAAATGGATGAAGTATGCGATATGATGTATGATAGAGGAATAGATGTATTATGTGTAAATGAGACGAAAAGGAAGGGGAAGGATGTCACTGCACATGGCATGTATACCGCATACTGGTCTGGTGTAGACGAGATCGAGCGGGCATGCCAGGGAGTAGGTATCATCCTTTCAGAAAGATTGGGCCAATGTGTGAGAGTATGAATGTGTAAGCCCAAGACTGCTATGGATACGAATGAAAGTGGGCTTAAAGAAGTTGTTTGTGTTAGGGGTCTACGCCCCAGACATGTCTAAGCCCACTTATATCCGGGAGCAGTTTTGGGAAATGGTAAGGATGGTGTTAATGAAGTGTAAGGGAAATGAAAATATTATTATGCTAGGAAATTTTAATGGAAGGGTTGGGGTGAGGAGGCTTGGTTATGAAAGGATATTGGGAACGTTTGGTGATGAAAGTATAAATGAGATTGGTGAAAGCCTCCTCACCGTATGTGTGGAAAGGAATTTTTTTGTGACGAACACTTTCTTTCGTCATAAGAAGATTCACATGTATACTTGGGAAGAGGTGATGATAGAAGCATGATAGATTTCATAACTGTGGATGAAAGAATGAGGAGCGCAGTGGTGGATACAAGGGTTTACCGGGGGTCCAACGTAGGGACGGACCACTACCTTCTTACCGGTCTTATGCCGACTTAGGGGGTTTATTCAGACGTTGGCGGCATAGGACATCTGTGTCTACCACTGCGTTACAGCGTATAAGAATTGAGAGGTTACAAGATGAAGATGTGAAAGACAAGTACAAATGCAGACTGAGAGAAAATATAAGTAATTTGGATGAGTTGTGTGTGAATGAGTTAGACTTGGAGAATGTGTGGCATAATGTTAAGAAAGGTTTAGTGGATGCAGCTACCGAAGTATGTGGTGTTAGTAAGAGAACAAATGAAAGGAAAGACAATACGTTATGGTGGGATGACGAGGTACATATGGAAGTTGAAGGAAAGAAGAGAGCATGGCTAGATTTACTAGCGACCAAAGCTAGTAATTCTGGCGGTAAGAATGATGAGAATGAAAGAAAAAAAGGCAGAGTTTAAACGTTTAAATAAGAGAGTAAAAGAATTAGTTGAAAGGAAAAAGCAAGAAATAACGGATAAGAATGATAGAAGAATATCGGATAACTTCCAGGCAAATGTTAAAATGTTCTGGAAACACGTAAGAAATACCAGGGGATCAAAACAGCCTAGATTGAATGCGATACGAGACGAGAATGGCTGTATCCTGAATGATGAAGTGTTGAGTCTAAAGAGATGGAAGGAATATTTTGAAAGCGAATTTATGAGTGAGGAAAAGTGTGAACTAAATGAAATAGAAGTTCCGAAAGAAGATGAAAGAGATAGGGAGATAAGTATAGATGAAATAATGAAAGCAATGAAAATCATGAAAGTAAGTAAGGCAGCCGGATATGATAGAGTTTCACTAAGGGCTGAAGAGGACGTGGTGGCAGGCCTTTTTTTTTTTTTTTTTTTTTTTTTGCGGATGGAAAATCATCTAATGACCCCTTTCGCTCTGGGTGGAGCGTAAGGGAGTGTCACACTTTTACTGACTAAAAACCATCAGTGTTCCTTCAGTGCCCTTACGTTCCGGAGCCTCGGTATCTCTTTCGAACAGCCCGCAGCCCCGGCAGGCGTAGGCCCTTGCGGGCCCCTTCACGCTGCTGACAGCTCTTTGAGGCGCGCGTGGAACAAAACGCGCCGTCGACACGGCCTGTCGTCATTAGACGGACGGACGACGAGCTACCCATTGCTCGCCGTCCACAGGCCCGCGCCTTCGGTGGCCGGGGGCCACGACGTAGCCCCCGACGCCCGGGGCGTCTCCCGCGGCGGCCGGGGAGGAAAGCTGCTGCTCTCTCCTTCTCCCGCTCCGCCACCTCTCTCATCTCTGCTTCGCAGAAGGTGGTGACGGCATCCCATTCCGTCTCGCTCCGGACCATGGCTTCGACCAGGGCTGGACGCGAGAGGTCGCCGCCGCCTATCGTCGCTACGAGGACACGGCGGTGCTCCGCCAAAGCAGGGCACACCTCCACGGTGTGTTCCACCGTGTCCTCCGGTCCATCCTCGCAGTGGGAGCACCCGGGCGTTTCCTCCCGCCCGATTCGGTGCAGGAACCTCCCAAACACACCGTGTCCGGTGAGGACCTGCGTCAGGCGGGTGGTGGCAGGCCTGCTGTACACCTTGTTTAATTTATGTTGGGAACTAAAGCGGGTACCGGGAGACTGGTGCAAAGCCGTGATAGTCCCAATATATAAGGGAAAAGGGTCACAGCAGGACTGTAAAAACTACCGTGGTATCAGCCTTCTTAGCATTGTGGGAAAACTTTATGCTAAGGTACTAATTGAAAGAGTTATGAAAGAAACTGATGAAAAAATTTGGGATGTGCAAGCGGGATTTAGAAAGGGAATGGGGTGTACAGATCAAGTCTTTTCCATGCGCATGATCGCGGAGAAGTTTTTGGCGAAAAACCAAAAAGTTTTTTGTGCGTTCATGGACTTGGAAAAGGCTTATGAGAGAGTGGACAGGGATGTGTTATGGCAAACGCTGAACGCATTTAGGTTGAGCGCTGGTTTGATATAGGCATTAAAGTCTCTATATAGGGACTCGAGTGCTTGTGTTAGAATCAACGGGGTCTACTCGGACTGGTTTGGCATCCATAAAGGTGTCAGACAGGGCTGTGTAGCTTCCCCGTGGCTATTCAGCCTATTTATGGACAGCTGTTTGCAAAATTTGAAAGTTGAAGTATGCGGGTTAAGAATGGGTGAGTTAATCATCAAATGCCTTTTTGTACGCCGATGATCAAGTCATACTTGCGTCGTCGGCGGCCGAGTTCAAATGATGGTTACATTAATGAACAGGTCATTAAAAGAAAGGGGAATGAAAGTGAACACAAGTAAAACGAAAGTGATGGTTTTTGAAAGAGATGAAAGCAAAACGGTATGTGAAATAAGAATAGAAGGAGAGTTAATTGAGCAAGTGTATGAGTTCGTATATTTGGGATGTGTATTCAGCAGGGATGGGAGATATGATAAGGATATTGAACGACGAGTGAATGCAGGAAATAAAGTAAATGGGGCTCTACACTCTATTGTGAAAAGTCAGAATGTGTCAAAAAAGGCACGTATGGCAATTCACAGTGCTGTATTAGTCCCTACTTTAACGTATGGTAGTGAAAGTTGGTTGTGGCAGAAGAAGCACGAGAGTAGAATAAATGCAGTAGAAATGCGTATAAGGAGTATGTTAGGGCTGAACCTGAGTGACAGGGTGAGAAACTGTGTGATAAAAGAAGAGTGTGGTTTGCAAGATGATGCGGTGACCAGGATTAAGAAAGGAATGCTTCGGTGGTTTGGTCATGTAGAAAGAATGAATGCGGAAAGACTGACAAAGCAAATATATGTTGCAAAAGTGAATGGAAGAGTCGGAAAGGGACGTCCTAGGCGGAAGTTTGTCGACCAAATTGGCGATATACTAAAAATGGGCCAAATTAAGAGTACCCTTAACCGACGAGCATGTATGCGTAGGTATATGGATGTGGAAGAGGCGAGAAAGGTATGTCAGGATCGTGCTAAATGGAAGTCTGTAGTCTCTGCCTACCCCTCTGGGTGACAGGCGTGAGTGTTTATGTATGTATGTAGAAAAGGATATTTCTCTATAAATGTGGAGACAATCTGCAATGCTAATCTTGAGATTATACATATAATAGCTTGATGGCTTGGATCATCTCATGATAGCAACATATTTAACAATAGTTACAGGAAAGCACAATTTGAATATGGTACATATGGCAATGCAGTATTGGTAGTAGATGGGGGATATGCATCAACCTTATACAGGATGCCACCTTTAGAGTATCCCAGTGGACCAGTGGAACAACTCTACAATGAATCACAAATCAGGACACGAAATCCTGTGGAACGCAGCTATGGGTTATGAAAGAGGCGCTTTCCTGTGCTTGCATTTGGAATGCGTATAAAACTGGAAAGAATTCTGAATGTTATCATCGCTACAGCTGTTTTGCACAACATTTTGAGACGTCGAGGAAAACAAGTACCAGATAATCCAGAAATTATCCCCCCTGCCCCCTGGAATGAAATTATAAATGATGGACAGATACCCTCTGTTGTGGATGCAGGATCTACCCAAGAGTATAGGGCACGAGATGCACTAATATCAGATTATTTTCAAAATTAATTGTGAAAAGTTTTTTGTTACTATTGGTTTTATTTGAATTAAGGGTGTTTTTTTGTTACTAAAATGTGTCCGTTCTTTTAGTCCGGCCACCATTGAAACCAAACTTTGTGGTGTGAAAGACTGACTATCTTGAGACAGTTATAGGCAGTTTTTATACAGTTTATCACACCGGCAAAAATTATGGGTTTTGAAGGTACGTAGGCCAAAGGAACGGACACTACTAACATAGTATGTAAGTTTATCGTTACCAAAAAAATAAATGTTATTAAAAGCTATAAATACAAACTAATCATGGCATGTTGTATATTTTTATTAAATTATTTGAATTATTTAGTTTTAGCGACGCATACACACACCAACAGTCATTGATATTTATCAAATAGGAAATTAGGTACATTATTAGTAGTATATAAGGTAGGAAATTAATTATTACATTTCTTCTGAATTTTCCTTGTTCTCTTCTTGATATTCACTCTGTTTTTGTCTTAACCCAACAATAACAGCTTGGTTTTAATTTTTTCCTGTTTTAAAATTTATTTTTTTTATATCAAGTTCTATTTGCACAATTTTGCCTCTTCCGCAGCTATATTTTTTTGCAAATTTATTTCTTCAATTTTATTCTTGTGGAGCATTTCTAGCGATTTTGCTGTGGAATTATGTTCAGGTCTTCTCCTTGATATCCCACTTTTTTATCACTAGCTATTTTCAGTGAGGCAGATACAGGAGTCCTTAGTAACTGAGGACTATAATCACCCTAATCCTGCTGTACAGATAATGGACTCCATGGATCCTAAAAGGAAATAAGTAAAATATTTAATTATTATCAGCATCACACACACATACCGTTAGCCTATTGTCCACTGCTAGACAGGCTTTAGGCTAAATCATCATCATATCATGTAGGACAGCGAGTCGACGAACGACTCGATGAACCCTGGTGTCAGAGTTATACAACCACCAGGTGACTAGTAGACCTCTGACATGGTTGTGCAACGTTACGCATAAAACAACCATAAAGTTCTGAGACCATTTCAACACGTTACAAATTTTATCAAATTTAGTTCAGCTGGGTCATTAGCAGGTCGTCCCATTTGCAACTCGTCCCATCAATATAGAACATAAAACAACTGTAAAGTCCTGAGACCAGATCAACTTGTTACAAATTTTATTAAAATCAGTTCAGCTGGTTATTCATAAAATGTCACCAACAGATAGTGAAATTGATATGAATTTAAAATAAAATTGATATTTTTATATGGATTTCAAAACCAAGCACAATATAAATCAACTGTAAATCATTTCCAAAATCAACATAATTTTATAATTTGTATTACTTTGATTTCCCTAATTTCGATTTCATTAAAATGGTTAAATATTCTGAAGTATACAGCTGAACTGATTTATGTAAATTTTGTAACAAGTTGGACTGGTCTCAGGAGTTAACGGTTATTTTATGTTCTATGTTCATGAGACGAGTTGCGAATGGGTCGACCTGCTAACAGCCCTTTGTGGGCAATGCTTGAATGTAACTTATAAACTGACTACCTTAGGTGTTTGTGTTTCACATCCCGACATGTTCACATCATTCATTGGAAGCTCTGAGTTATCTGTAAGAATAGATAATATAATATTGCACAGGAGTAATTGTTGATTTTTTGGCCACCCTCCTCATATTGGGTGGGAACGGCCGGAAGAATTGCATCACTATCATAAGGATTATATAAGCCTAATGCACTTGTGGATATAAGGCTCAATATCTGCTTAGTACAGGGATCTTCTTTTTTTAGGTAAAGCTGTTCCACCACCTAAAATAAACAAATTATATATTATACTTAATACTTCATAATTTTGAACCTACCTGTCTAGAATAGCCATTCTTGTATTTGCAGCCTCTTTTTTTTGCAGCTATTTTCATGGCTTCCCATTGTGCTTTTAAATTTTCAGCCAGTCGAGGTATCAGGGCCGTTTGCGAGTTATACTCTTGCATAATGATTTTCCACTCTTCGGATTTTTGTCGTAAAGTTGTGCCATCGGTTTTTTTGTTTTCTATAATAGGGAAATGTTTCGCTACCAACTCAACTAACAGGCTCTTCTCTGATGCCATCCAGTTTGCGCTTCTTTTTCTTTTCGGTGCGGACATCGTGCACGGTAGCCAACTCCGCCAAATAAACCAATTTCTATTTAAAAAATCGCTTTGACTTGTCAAAGAAAAGAAAATACCCACAAAACAAACCACAAACATACGCTCGCTTTAATTGAGGTTAGAAAATAGTGACAGTGAAGTGACGTTATAAATCTGCCAAATATAATAGTACATTTCTCAAGTATAGTACGTACAGAAACAATAACTTCTTCGTTTAGTAGCATTATATATTTGGTCATTTTATTCGGCAATCTTATTCAATGCCATAGACAACGAAAGAGTTACTATTCAAGAATAATTTTAATCTAGGTATAGTTTGGTAGAACGTAAACGAAATTATCCTTGAGTTAATATTGAGAGTAAAATTATCCCTGGTATAGTTACTCGCGTATAAGTTCGAGTTTGGTCGAATCCACCCTTAGTCGTGTAAGTAAACAAATAGACTTTTTTGTAGAATTAGAATGACAAACGAGCACACAGTCCACCTGATGGTAAGTGGTCACTGTGGCCCATAGACATCTACATTTATCCTCGATTACGAATCTAAATGCAGATGCGTTGTCACACCCGAGGACTAAGGTGGAATGCCTAGTTTCCAGTAAAAAGGGTCTCCGGTTCTCTAAACTCACCATACGACACACAGCAGCATTAAGCTACTATTTTACGCTGGTATTCTGTGAGAGCGTGGTCCTTCCCCGGTCGAGCCAACCTATTCGTGCTACAACTATACTACTAATGTAACTGCAGCATGGCTGTACCACGTCTCAAAACCGTCAACCCGCTTGCCAAGAGTGGCAACTAAATTAAAGACCTATGTTCATTAGTGGTCTTTAATAGGCTGTAACGGTACATACTCTTGAAAAACCTTAATACCCTCATTCTGAGACAGTCGGGTGAAAAACAGTCAAATTGACGACCTTCTTTTTTTAGTAAGTTAAAATAAGTGGAATTAGTTTTATATAACGTAATTTAGCGTTAAAATCTCGCATAATTATAGCTTAAACCGGAATATTGACTAATGAGGGTTCACGCCTATCGACCAATTAACTACACTATGTTAAGTAGGCCCTGCTCCACCCCGAAGAGGGTTAAGCGCGTTCTCTACTCACTGCACACCCTTTGATGACGCCCTTTGATCAGTTACCGCCTGACGGCTGCGAACGTAACGCATCGGTTGTCACAGATGCGATTCCGTGTGCTGTTGCGTTTAATCGTACGTGTATTGTCTATGGTATAATCTGAGAATCGTCGCGCATTTTTCACCTGCTCGTATATTGACGCAAATAGTAACAACCGGTTTAGCCCATTAAAGTACACTGCTGCTAAACGTAGATTATCTCATATTTGCCATAGTTGGCACGCTTGGCAAGCGGGTTGGCAACCGCAGTTTTTATTTTCAGTCGTTATTAGGAAGACGCTGCTGCCCATCTCCTGATTTATTTATTTCTGCCGCCTCTTACGACACCCTTCGTTATTAGGAAGACGCTGCTGCCCATCTCCTGATTTATTTATTTCTGCCGCCTCTTACGACACCCTTCGTTATTAGGAAGACGCTGCTGCCCATCTCCTGATTTATTTATTTCTGCAGCCTCTTACGACACCCTTCGTTATTAGGAAGACGCTGCTGCCCATCTCCTGATTTGTTTATTTCTGCCGCCTCTTACGACACCCTTCGTTATTAGGAAGCCGCTGCTGCCCATCTCCTGATTTATTTATTTCTGCCGCCTCTTACGACACCCTTCGTTATTAGGAAGACGCTGCTGCCCATCTCCTGATTTATTTATTTCTGCCGCCTCTTACGACACCCTTCGTTATTAGGAAGACGCTGCTGCCCATCTCCTGATTTATTTATTTCTGCCGCCTCTTACGACCCCCTTCGTTATTAGGAAGACGCTGCTGCCCATCTCCTGATTTATTTATTTCTGCCGCCTCTTACGACACCCTTCGTTATTAGGAAGACGCTGCTGCCCATCTCCTGATTTATTTATTTCTGTCGGCTCTTACGACACCCTTCGTTATTGGGAAGACGCTGCTGCCCATCTCCTGATTTGTTTATTTCTGTCGCCTCTTACGACACCCTTCGTTATTAGGAAGACGCTGCTGCCCATCTCCTGATTTATTTATTTCTGTCGCCTCTTACGACACCCTTCGTTATTAGGAAGACGCTGCTGCCCATCTCCTGATTTGTTTCTTCTGCAGCCTCTTGCGACACCCTTCGTTATTAGGAAGCCGCTGCTGCCCATCTCCTGATTTATTTATTTCTGCCGCCTCTTACGACACCCTTCGTTATTAGGAAGACGCTGCTGCCCATCTCCTGATTTATTTATTTCTGCCGCCTCTTACGACACCCTTCGTTATTAGGAAGACGCTGCTGCCCATCTCCTGATTTGTTTACCTCTGTCGCCTCTTACGACACCCTTCGTTATTAGGAAGACGCTGCTGCCCATCTCCTGATTTGTTTACCTCTGTCGCCTCTTACGACACCCTTCGTTATTAGGAAGACGCTGCTGCCCATCTCCTGATTTGTTTATTTCTGTCGCCTCTTACGACACCCTTCGTTATTAGGAAGACGCTGCTGCCCATCTCCTGATTTGTTTACCTCTGTCGCCTCTTACGACACCCTTCGTTATTAGGAAGAACTGCTGCCCATCTCCTGATTTTTTCTTGCCGCCTCTTCGACATTGTTTAGGAAGACGCTGCGCCCATCTCCTGATTTATTTATTTCTGCCGCCTCTTACGACACCCTTCGTTATTAGGAAGACGCTGCTGCCCATCTCCTGATTTGTTTACCTCTGTCGCCTCTTACGACACCCTTCGTTATTAGGAAGACGCTGCTGCCCATCTCCTGGTTTGTTTATTTCTGCCGCCTCTTACGACACCCTTCGTTATTAGGAAGACGCTGCTGCCCATCTCCTGATTTATTTATTTCTGCCGCCTCTTACGACACCCTTCGTTATTAGGAAGACGCTGCTGCCCATCTCCTGATTTATTTATTTCTGCCGCCTCTTACGACACCCTTCGTTATTAGGAAGACGCTGCTGCCCATCTCCTGATTTATTTATTTCGCCGCGACTTGGCGCCCATCTCCTGATTTATTTATTTCTGCCGCCTCTTACGACACCCTTCGTTATTAGGAAGACGCTGCTGCCCATCTCCTGATTTATTTATTTCTGCCGCCTCTTACGACACCCTTCGTTATTAGGAAGACGCTGCTGCCCATCTCCTGATTTATTTATTTCTGCCGCCTCTTACGACACCCTTCGTTATTAGGAAGACGCTGCTGCCCATCTCCTGATTTATTTATTTCTGCCGCCTCTTACGACACCCTTCGTTATTAGGAAGACGCTGCTGCCCATCTCCTGATTTATTTATTTCTGCCGCCTCTTACGACACCCTTCGTTATTAGGGAAGACGCTGCTGCCCATCTCCTGATTTATTTATTTCGCCACACTTACGACACCCTTCGTTATTAGGAAGACGCTGCTGCCCATCTCCTGATTTGTTTATTTCTGTCGCCTCTTACGACACCCTTCGTTATTAGGAAGACGCTGCTGCCCATCTCCTGATTTATTTATTTCTGCAGCCTCTTACGACACCCTTCGTTATTAGGAAGACGCTGCTGCCCATCTCCTGATTTGTTTATTTCTGTCGCTCTCTTACGACACCCTTCGTTATTAGGAAGACGCTGCTGCCCATCTCCTGATTTATTTATTTCTGCCGCCTCTTACGACACCCTTCATTATTAGGAAGACGCTGATGCCCATCTCCTGATTTGTTTATTTCTGTCGCCTCTTACGACACCCTTCGTTATTAGGAAGACGCTGCTGCCCATCTCCTGATTTGTTTATTTCTGTCGCCTCTTACGACACCCTTCGTTATTAGGAAGACACTGCTTCCCATCTCCTGATTTATTTATTTCTGCCGCCTCTTACGACACCCACAGGATGATATGGGATAGCGGATATTCTTTCAAAACCACCGCTACGCGGTAATGGTAACGCACTAAATTTAATGACTTCTTATGTTTACGCGAACACAATACACTGAATGAAATTTTTAACGGATTGTATCGCGTTTTACTAACTTGCTTTATATTCCCGGTGTTAGTACTTTACTACTACAGTAGGTGTGAGTACTTTTACAGCACCCATGATCACGGAGGAACTGAGGTGCTAGACGTCTCGATGTTCAAAGCGGCTGCCTTAAGTTTAAAATCATAAAGGAGATAATCGTTTTTGGTTCAACTAGTTTTAAAGTAACGTAATGGACACATAACTAGGGTTGCCAGGTCTTAAAACCGTAAGACCAGACAGACCAGCGAGCTTAGCCGGACATTTTGATAAAAAAGGCCGGGAACCTTATTTTTTTGTCTTTTATAAGACATTTTTTAAAGTAAAACAATGCACTTTATCATTTACCGTAAAATCTTCAAAGTTCTAACGAAAAAACAACAATTGAATAAATCAGTCTTTTTTATTATTAATAATTCAATATTCATTACAATATTAATTTCAATAATTGCAATAATATGTAAGTACATGAAAAATGTAAAGAAATGATCAAATTTAAAAAGCCGTTTCTTTGTCTTTGTACTATGTTTTTCCGGAATTAATAAAAGTAATTTATAAGTACTTTAAGATTGATGTAAAATCCATTAATCCTAAAGTACCTATTAAATAATAAATGTAACTACTACTCTGTTATTGAATAGTGCACTATTTTAACTTATAATACCGCTGAAAACTACTAGACAATCGCTTTCAGTTTGTTTTTAGGTTATTGTGATATTTATGATTTAATTGTTTATTTCTCGGTATTCCCGTTTTCGGTAAAACTAATATTATTATTTAATCTATAGAATATATAGAATAAATCAACAGGCATTTCGTGTTACGTCACAATTTGTGGTGGGCCCATTTTCCATACAAAAAGAAATTGTCTCCTTTGTTATTATTTAATCT